CCAATTTGTATCACTACAAATTAATAATAAATAACACTGAAGTACTCAGTGATACGTTTTCAGATTTCCTAATTCATAAAGATGTTGATTTCCTGTTGTTTTCTGTTTCGATATATTCTTCTTCCTCACTTGAGATCCTTTGGAATTTCTCTGATTTCTGATATAATGCAGAAATCCTTTTCGCTGGCAATCCAAGTATCTGTTTAACTGTGTTGAATCCAGCGTGTATGCTCCAAATTGTTCCAATCAAAGACATATAACACTGACTTGAGAAAACAACAACTGTGTTCCTAGAAAGGTATTTGTAGTCAAGGTGTAGATGTACTCGAACTGCAGACTGCAGTCTGCAAGCCTATGCTCACTTCTTTAGAAGTATGTTTCCCAGAATGTAATGGTGCTTATTACTAATGTTTAGGATTATGCTGCATTGTGCATTTCTTCTGACTAATGTGGAATTCAAAAAATGTCAGATGTTTTTAGTTTACCTTGTTTATGACTCTAAATACATGCAGTTTTCCTGCATAAAATGTAGCTGTGCCACCTAGTGACACCAAACCCTATTTATTTCTCATTCTTTGTATGTATTATTAATTTTAAACTTGTAGTAGACACACATTGACTCACTGCCAAACCTCCCCCACATGTTTAGAAACATTATATGCTAATGCAGGTGAATTCACATCAGCAAATGCTTGTCTATATTTAAATATATATATCTTTCTGGTTGGAGAAAGACTGTAGTGGTTCCCAAACATTGATCCTCCAGGTATTTTGGACTTCATTTCCTAGAACCACTAGCCAGTTTGGCCAAGAGTCAGGAATTCTGGGAGCTGAAGTCCAAAAAATCTGGAGGATCAAAGTTTGAGAACCACTGTTTATGTTCAGAGAAGCTGCTTATATGAAGGAGCATTCAGATGTGGAAGTTCGAAGTCTCCCTTCTCCAAAACAGAGGTGGGGAAAGTACAATTCTCCAGATGTTCTTCATCATCATTGACTATGCTTGCTAGAGATGCTGGAAGTTGCAGTTCAACAACATTCAGAAAACTGCAGTTAACCGACTGCTGTTCTAATGTGTGCATTTTCTGAACATGTAAATCATTTCCAGCAGGGCAGGGCAGGTCACATGTAAGTCCAGAGGCAAACTAATTTTGCTTTTTCCTTTGGATTGGGTATAATCTTTCTCCAAATGTTTGCTTTTGAGGTTTCCCTCGCATGTTAAACAATAGAAAGGGATGTGGGGCTGGAGTGGAAAGTCACCACCTAATTTTAACTGATTAGCTATTGATGTCATCTTTATTTTGGATGTCATATTACACCAGCAGTTTTATTCCATATAAAGCTTGCCAGTTAACTGTTGTCATTGTTATGAAAGCTGCTTTGCTATAGGGAGGAAAAAAGACTCAACAGGTCAGTCATGCAGTTCATAAGGGGTGGCATGGGGTGAATAAACCACAAACTAAGAGCATAAGCAAATGCCAGTTTGCTGGAAAGTATGTTCCACTCTGGTGGGATTTATTCCAAGGCAAGTATTTTTACGATTACAGCCAAAGCTAGAAAGTATAAATAATGTGTATAATTATGCTCCAGTTTACCATCCTTATTTCCTTACATCTGTGTTCTTGCCCTGGTAAACTGCAAACAAGTAAATGCTCTATTTTGTGGGGCGAGGAGGTAGAAATGCCTTGCCTAAAATGTTGTTAATATGAATTATGGCCATCATTCTTCAGGGTTCAGTTTCTACCTCTTGATACTTTTTTTGAGGTGGAGCTAGTTTGTTACATTCATTGTACTTGGATGTTTATTTATACTTGCTATTTTAAACACTTATTTTACTTATGTTGCTTTTACATAGATTTTTGTTTAGAAGATATTTATGGCACTCTTCCAAACCTGCAGTGGCTAAACTTCAGAAACAAAACAAAACCTTAAAGGAAATCAATACAATGAATGTGTTTGCATCCGGAGTTTTTCTCAGCAATTTAAGCTGCCTCTGCACTGCAGAAACAATCTGGTTTGAGACCGCTTTTACTGCTATGGCTCAGTGATGTGGTATACTGGGAACTGTAGTTGGTTTAGTTCTGGTGCTGCAGTTCACAATATTCCATAGCACTGAGCCATGGCAGATAAAGCGGTGTTAAAGCGGATTATTTCTGCAGTGCGGAGGCAGCTGTGTGCAAAAAGTTATTATTTCCAAGTTTGGATATTAAGCCAGGATTTTGAGTTTATCACATCTTTTTGTAAATAAGTGGTATGGTAGTATGCGAAGGATGTTTGATCCCAATTTGTTCCTGTCTTGATTGATTGTTATGTTTCCTGTTTATGCTAAATGTGTGGAGCATTTTGCAAGGCTTTTCTAAATTGCAGTTACAGACATTTTAGAGGCTTGGTTGTTGTTGTTGTTGCTGTTGTTGTTGTGAGCCATCAAGTAGTTTCTGACTTACGGTGACCCTAAGTCCCTATCATGGGGTTTGCTTGGCGAGATTTGTTCAGAGGAGGCTGAGAGCATGTGACTTGCCCAAGGTAATCCGGTGGATTTTATGCCTGAGCTTGGAATCAAACCCTGATCTCCAGAGTCCTAGTCCAACACTCAGACCATTACGCCACACTGACTCACTTTAGGATTGCATTTCTAAATTATAGAAGTGGAAACTGGTTAGAAGGAAATTTTCACCACAGGCTTTTTTGGGGTGTGTATGTGTATGAATACTATATAAAACAAATAAGTATTAACAGATACCATATACCTAAGAGACAACAAATATGACAGATTCTCGACATGTTTTTTTTTTGTGTGTGAGTGTGCGTGTGTTAACATCAGTACGTTGTCTATTAATTTTTCATTTTAATGCTCATGTATTTTTTCTCACCTTCTACAGAAAGCCCAAACAATGCAATAAATGTATTAAGTATGTATAAATTTATCAAAACTTTAAACTTTGATTTTACAACATTAACAATTGTTGCTTAGCTACTGTCTCACTTGGATAATCTACTTAATGACTGTCCTTATATTAAGTACTCTTCTGATTTTAAAAAAATAACTAAAATGACCTATGAATTTATGGTCCTATGAGTTGATGGTGAGCCTCAATCCATTTTTGCATCTGGAATCTGAGCTATAAATGGAATTTCTGCAGTAATTTGCTATTTCTCTCCTTGCCATTAGAATTTTTACAGCCAGTTTTTCAGCTAGATGAGCATTCCACCTTATCAAAAATCAAATTAACACACTACATTATTTTAATAACAGAACACTTCATAAAAGCCTGGCATAACTTCAATTAATCCAGGTATATTTTATTTCAGTAATGTTCATAATAGAACATTTCCTTTGACTATCAATGACTTCATCTTTTTGAAAACTCATTTGTGTATGGAACATTAATTTATTAGAGTTAATGTTGGGTTCCTTTCCAAACAATTTTGCATCAGATAGTATTTAACTTAGGCATTCTAACATGCTCTGTTGAGTGTCTTTTTCTCCAATAATAAACAAAAGAGGCTAGAGCATAGGTATGCTACTCAAGATATGGCACAAAAGCATGGATGGGAAATCAATTAATTTAACTACAGCTGCTAACAATAAAGGCAGTTTCAACTATATTTTACTAAAAGTAAAAGAAGTAACTGCTATTGCTAAAATATTCAAAATAAATAAAAATAAATAAATTTCAAAAAATCAACCTTGATTTTGCTATTTTATATAAGAGGCACTATTTTACTATGACATTGTATTTAATGGGACTTGAGAATCCACAGATTTTGGTATTGATCCCAGGAGATACCAAAGGACTTGGTATTACAAGACTGGCAAAAAGCTCAGGAACATGGGAAGGTTGAGAAATACCAGGAAGCAAGGTGCTAACAGTCAAGAGCAGCACAGAAGAGCTAAGGCTGCATCCACACTACAGAAATAATCCAGTTTGACACTGCTTTTACTGCCATGGCTCAATGCTATGGAATTCAGGGAACTGTAGGATTGTGAGACATTTAGCCTTCTCTGTCAGAGAGCTCTGGTGTCACAACAAACTACAATTCCCAGGATTCTGTAGGATGGAGCCATGACAGTTGAACTGATGTCAAATCGGATTATTTCTGTAGTGCAAATGTAGCCTAGGTGTCAGGGATCAGTGGCTTCTTGGTTAAAGGCACCAGGAAAATAATTTACATCGCATTTGAGGTGCAGTGACCAAATATATGGTGGTGAGATGGGAATAATGCTCATCCAGAAACTCTGTGTGGGAGAAGTTTGGGACCAAGGGCCACTACAGTTCCCAGAAGAAAGCACCTTTCAAGCTTCTGCTGGTGGATCTCCTGATATCCCTGCTTAACCTTTTGAAAGAAGGAATGCCCAGCCTGATCAGAATATGTATATAATGGG